AGAAAAAAGTCTCATCAGTAATCTAAGGTTTCTCTTAAACATAAAAAGCAAACTAAACTCAGTAGAGGGAAAAAATAATAAAGATGGCAGCCAAAAATAAATGGAAAGCTGAATGCCAATACTTTGGACAAATAAACTTATGAAACCAGTCTAGCCAGTCTGATCAGGAAAAAAAAAAAGAGAGAGCGAGAAAAGATACAGATTACCAGTATCAGGAATGGAGGGGGTGAGGGGAGTATGCTATGCACATTAAAAAAGATTATATAGAAATGTTCTGAACACCTGTATATCAATAAATTCAGTAATTTAGATGAAACAGACAAAACTCCTTGAAAGAAAAACTACCAAAGATTACTCAAGAACAAACAGATAACCTATTAAAGCAATTCAGTTTGTAGTTAAAACTTTCCAAAGAAAATTTCAGGCCTAAACAGATTCTTTAGTGAATACTAAGAAACATCTAAGGAAGAAATAAAGTCAAACTTATGAAGACTTTTTTCAAGAAAACAGAATAGAAGGAAACAATTTCCAACTCATTTTATGAGGCCAGCATTATCTTGATACCAAAACGAGAGACCTTGTAAGAAAACAACAGATCAACATCTCTAACGAGCATGGGTGCAAAAATCTTTAACAAAATTTTAGTGAATCAAATTCAACAATATAGAAAAAGGTATGTGTGTTATGACCCCAGAGAGTTGGTCCTAGGAATTGTAGGTTGGTTTAGCATTCAAAAATTAATGACTGCAATTCACTAAAAAAGAACATTCATGAATAGCTTCATAGTTGCACAAATCAAATCTGTAGTTCTTATATTAAGACATGAGAACTAGAAAAAGTACTTTTTCTTGAATGATATTCATGTTACAGTTTAGTAGAGTGACTGTCTAACTTACTTGACCAGACTTCCTAATTTATTGAACTCTGAGAGAGAACGATATGGGGGAAAGATATTATATGATTTCAGAAATGTGTTTCTCATTTGTTTCCTATTGCTGAGTTTATAGTTTGTCCTTTTCCTAATGTTCAGTATTCATGTGTGTTCCATGCAGGTTACTGGAGGAGCTCTTAGTCTCCTTGCAGTGGGGAAGACAACAAACTTACTCCCCTAGTGCACAACCCCACAGCACAGCAGAACTAGTGTTAACAAATCACAAGTTGGCAAAAGCAGTAAATTCTCATCTTCTGGGAAATGTTGGTATTACCAGTCAAAAAAAGATTCCATCAACAGTTGAATTCTGCAGCACCCCTGCTGAGAAAATGGCTGAAACGGTAAAATATTTTCTCTTTTATGATCTGTGAGACTTCTAACACTGTCCTCAGTGAAAAGTGACAAGTTATAATGGAAGGTGCTTGGCATTAAGAGTTGGAGAATGTGGGATTCAAACCTGATTCTCAGGCTCATAAGCTAGTGATCTTAGAGAAAGTAAAAGCTCTTCTGCTCGTCCACTTTACTTTTCTCCACTATTACTGCTCTGTTTTTAAAAAGAAAAAATAGAGAGTCTGTTTTAGCTACTAAATCATTATCTTGAGTTTGTTATGATATAAAAACCACTGTATAGAATTTTTAATTTAGGGATCATCAGTAGATTAAATAGATTACTTCTGATCTAAGAAATTATTTAATTTTCACATTCAGATAAGATTGCACCAAATACTACAGAATCAAATAGTATGTATAGTGTAGACCTACAATTCTGGATGAATTCAGAGTCTGTGCAGATGAGCTGTCATATACCGTGGTCTCACAGTTCTATGACAGCAACCATATTTACCTTCATTAAAACTTCACGTTCCCGGGTGGCACTTGTGGCTCAGTGGGGAGGGCACCAGCCCCATATACCAAGGGTGGCGGGTTCAAACCCAGCCCTGGCCAAACTGCAACAAAAAAATAGCCAGGCATTGTGGCAGGCGCCTATAATCCCAGCTACTTGGGAGGGTG